CTACTTATTTTCATTCATTCTTCGCATACTGGAATTGGTTGTATATTTAAACCAACTTCATATTTTGTCACCAACTGATGTAAATACCTTTTGCAAACAATAATCTATTAATTTTTTTACTTCTTTCTTAAGAGTCAGTTATTTTATATCCTAATTTCTCTTATTGCTTCCTATGATTGGTTGTTTGTTTTGCTCTGACTTATCTTGGGCTATCTTGAAAATTATTTTGTCTGATTAGTATTGTTCATGTGTCTTCTCTTTATTATACTTATCATAGGAAAGCAATTCAGGCATATCCCATCCTTCCATATCAGTAATTTCTAATGATTGTCTCCCGATGGAGTCTCCATTCTTCGATTTTGTTATTGTCGGGGGAGGCATCGCTGGTGTTGTTTGTGCGGAGACGCTATGCCAACTAATCAGGCCCAGCATATACTCTGGGTTGATTTCTTGCTGTTCTTCAGCTCCAGCTCTTACTAATTGCTCCAAAGGTTCACCAAACAATTTTGATGGGGAGAAAATGCGGTATCAACACTCTGTTTGTTTGATTTCCGCTTCAGCGAGTATCAAAGCTGCTATCAACATCCGGCGTGTCACTTGTCTTCTGGAGTCATTTGATGTCGCTGAGCTGGATAAGGATCTTTGGTCCTCTGCCTACGAGGGGTCATTAACAGTTATTCACGATCTTCTTCAAAGGATCGAGTAATTCGGTTGCTGATATTTGATTACCATGATTTTTTTGGTTGCATATTAAGGCTGCGAAGCATCCAACGAGAGTTATCCTTAAAGTAGTATATTGAATGCTTTACCCAAGAGCTTATTTGATCTTGTTTTTGCAACCTCTTCTTTAAAACACGAAGAATTATAAGTGGCCCCTTTGCGTTGTGCCATTAGTAAGTAGTACCGACCTACTACTCGTAATAAGTAGCGCCAATCACTGACTCGTTTTCTGTTCAATCTTCATCTATAACTTGGTCGTATCCACTATCACTTATCCTATCCTGGCCTAGTTCACTAACTCAAGTTCTTTATTCCTCCGAGTGGGTTTACTCAGACCTGATAACCACCACCGGTGTCTAGGTGTGCTCAATAAAAGCGGTTTCTATTATTATTGCCCTTCTAATTATTCCTAGATTTAGAACCATTTTATATCACCCGTCATCACTCCCATCGCATTCTCATTCTATGTAGCCTCTTGGTCCTACTTGTATATTTTGCCCCAGTTAATCCACTATATTTCTAATCTTCAGAATTCTGTTTCCATCATATAATCTTCGTTCAGCCTAGCTGTTTTTTATAATTTCCTCAATTTTGTATGAGTTCTTGGTTTTTAAATCTCTTGGTCTGGCATTGATTCAGTGGAATACGATTATACCAGTACGGCGAGTCATCGGTTTAAGTCTCTAGCCTTTAATACAAGTGGATTTGTAGTAAAACTGGGCCCTGAGCTCTGCATACTCGATAACGAATTCCGTCTCTGTATTCCCCGGTGGATCACCCAATTGATATCTTTCCATTCTGTTCCTCTTGATACAAGCGTTTCTTCTATTTTGATCTTGCTGTCTCCTGTGTCCCATTGCTTAAAAAAATATGCGCATTCATGTGGATTCTTCCATTTACTTTGGGACTGGGTCAACTTTACATTTCAGCAACTCCGGCTGGTTTTATTAAGAGCGCCTACGATTGTTCTTCCCGATTCCGTTGAATTATTATTATTCAGTAGCATCGCGTGATAAGTCTTGGCAAAAATGGTGCTATCCTGTTCATGCCTAAAG